TTTAAGTTTTATATTGTACTTTTTCTCCATTATGTATCAAATGCTCCTATTAACAAAAAGTATAAAATAATAGGTTATAAAGAAATGAGTGATACATGAAATGGCAAAAAGGAAATTACCCATTAAAAGGAATATTAGAAATTGGCATACAAATCTTTAAAGTTTTTATTAATGGTGATTTTTACAAAGAGCATTTATCATTCATTTCTTTTGGACTAAAATGAAATAGGGCTTATTTTATATTTTTGAAAAATTGTTCAAGATCATTTTTATTAACGATGTAAAATTTATTTACTAAAAAATTAAAAATGATAGAATCTTTACTCTCAGGGATGGGCAATAAAAAGCAAAGAGCACTGTGATTGGGTTTGAAAGATTTTGAATTGAGTTATAGCCAGTGCTCTTATTGGTTTTAATAGGTTGATTCCTGTGTAGATTTAAAGAGTTTATTTAAAAGCAGCAAGCTTTTATATTTAATTAAATGATACCTTTCACTGTGCAATCTCAAGAGAAAGACTTTCTAAATTATACATGGTCTTTACCTTGAAGAAGAAAATCGTCTATTTCAGTGTCTGTCTATAGCAGGATTGACCAAAACAGGTGGTAAATAAGTATGTAATTTTTAAATAACTGTCATGAAATAGGAACGAACCTTTGCTGATATAGGAAATGGCCTCCCTTTGAATTATGGGAACTTTCTTATGTGTAATGTTGGTGTGTGTGTGTACATATATATATTATATAAATTTCTTTTTTTAATGTAAGGTAGTAGTATATGATCTTGTCTTTTACCTTTTCAGTTCAGGGAACAATTTGTCCTGGCCACACGTATGTTAGCAGTCTAATGCTTTATAAAGCTTTAGAAATGAGTTGATGACTCATTAATAAAATACAAACATGATAATTATTTTAATATCTTCAAATAATCTGAGGGTGTGTTACACACTTTAGCATCAACACTAAGTTGTGCCTTCTACATTTGCATTGGCTATACATGAAAAGATTATTAAGTTAGTTAGAATGAAGTAGATTGCTTAATTACTATGAAGTTCTGCATTGCAAATGCTATAGAATAACCTGCATTTTTAAAGTATATTTGCACATTTTACATATTATGCTATATGGTTGCCTTTGGGTTTTCTATACAGATTGTTTTTGTTAATAGTAAATGGAAATCATAGGCCAGAAACATGCTGTCCTTATGTGAAGTAAATTGATATATCCTAAAAATAAATAAATAAATAAATAAATAAAATAAAAAGGACTTCCCCTGTTTTCCCTTTTGTGGGGAGGTGTAATGGAAAAAGAAATTTGGGGGGTTGGGTAAAACAACCTAAATTGAAAAATTGGGTTTTCAGATTCACCATCTTGTTAAAATCTGTCTACTTTATGAAAAAGTTTGCTTCAGGGCCTGAGAACTGACTTCTTACCCTCAAGTCACCTGTAGGGATTGGTCCTCCAATTATTGTGATGTAGTTTAGGATGGCTTGGGTGAATGCAGAAAGATTTTTCTTTTATTTTTATGGCAGTGTAAGTGGTTAACGGTGGTTTGTAAGGGCCTTCCCAGGGAGGTGACAGCCCATATGTTCTTCCAAAAACTTTGGTGCATACACAAACTCTTGGTTTAAAAAATTGGCAAGTCTTGTCAGTTGGCAGAGTCCATGATCTTTACACCAATTACCAATATTCTCCAAGGATATTTGCTAGCATCTGTATGTAGTTAGTCATGATATTGAATTTTTCACTTAAATCCCCATAGTGTCCAGCCAACTTGGGAATAGAAGATTTAGAAGTGTCAGTAGGAATGTTACAAAATTCAGTACTGGTTCCTGAGTCTAAAAAAAAAAAAAATGAGGACAAGCATTTTTAAAAAGAAAAGAGAAGTTTGTTAATTTGCCTGAAAATGAGAAGGCTGTCAGGCTCTTTTCTTAAAGAATCGTTGACTCCCCCCAACCCCTGCACCATTTAAGCAGAATCACAGAATTTTTAAAGGGAGTTTTCAGCTTTGGATTGTTACTGTTTAACTATAGCATCTCTTGTGACCTCTGTCCAGATAATTCTGTTGAGCCATCTCCTATGGTTTAAAATACTACAAAACAAAGAACAAAGAACATTCCTCTGCCCCTCTGATTATAACCCCTGTGCAGGAATAGAGACTTTCTTTCCTGAAAAACGTGAGAGGTTTTAATGAGATAACTTCTGAAATATCTTTCTCTTTTTCAGAACCTTACTTTCATTCCATTCATACACATTCACCACCATCAATTTTACCCTTCTTTATCTGTAGGAGGAGGGGCAACATAGTCATCAAGCTACTTCCTGCTCAAATGGGGCAGTGTTTTAAGTGGAAGGTTTGTACTTACTGATGTTACTGCAAAGCTTTGGCAGTAGATTTATCAAGAAAAAAAAAAAAGCTTGTAAAGAATGAAACACATGACCAGGTTAAAAAGGGCATAATCTACAACTATAACCCTGAGTACTGAGAAGGCGAATGGAAGATAAGAGAGATTGTATCCTGCTTGGTATCTAGGACACTGGTAGGACAGTGGGTCCTTACTGTTGCCTTAGATATAATGTCTGATACAGGGATGGACAAGCTAGAGCTGTTAGTCATGCCCTGTAAGTACACTGAATGAGATTAAGAACGATGAATCTGACAGTGAGACAAATCAGCAGAAAAGGCAATGGTTTGGGAAATTCTCACTTAGAAGTTGTCTCTCCATCCTACAGACAGAGCTAATAGCCTAAAAAGGTTAACAAAAATATGATCATTTTTATTTTCTTCTTAAAAAGATACTTTAGATCACACAAAGCTTGACCCATCCACTGGGGACTTAGATCGTATCCTTACTCTGGTATGATGGACCCAAAGGTTTTACTCCTGACAATTTCAACAAGGTGTGAGTTGTTTGAAGCACTTCCTAGGGTCTCTTCCATCTCTCAGCCAGTTGTTTTTCAGGTCCTTGTTCTTTCTAGGATTTAAGTGACACCCTGTATCCTAGGCATGCTTCCAACTGGGCAGGGACCTGAAAGAGGTGAGAATTTGATCTGTTTGACATATGTCTCCACTCTGTTTTCTTCTCTCAGGGTTATATTACCATGCTGACTTACCTCAGTGTGCTAGGAATGGTCTTCCATAAACTATTTCATAGGGGCTTAACTTAAGCCCCACTTCTAGGGGCCACCCTTATTCAGAGGAGGGCAGGTGGCAACATCATATCCTGGTTTGGATGGGCTTCTTGACTCAATTTTGTTATAGTTTAAAGTCTGATTTATTTTCTCCATTTTCCCCATAGCCTGAGGTCTCCAGGATGCATGAAAATTTCATTCTATGTGTATGGCTTTGCTTACTTGCTGAGTTACCTCTGATATAAAGGGTGATCCACTATCATATGAAGGAAGGGAGCCTACACCTTGGAATAAATTCTTCAGAAGAACTCTGGTAACTTCAGATGTTCTTTCCATTCCAGCCTCTACCCAGCCTGAGTAGGTATCTACTAATACAGGCAAGTATTTGATGTTTCCAGTCATTTTAGGCATCTGCCAATCATTGGAAGGGTGGGTCCCCACATGTTGGGTTTCCTGTGCAGCAGGTCGCGTTTCTGTTTTGGGATTGTTCCCAGCACATAAAAGGCACCTCTGAGTGATTTGTCAAACAGGGTCCTCTTAAATGAGGTCCCACAAAATCCATTAAGGCCCACATAAGGGTATGAACAGAGGCTTTGGATAGAAGATAAATCTAGCTGGGTACCAAGGCCCCGAGGAACAGATCACTTCTAGCAGCCTCCTTAGCATCACTGTTAGCAGCCTGATTTCTTTTGCCTACATAGGTGTCTCCTTTTGGGTGACCAGGACAGTGTGTGATGTTCACCTGCTGAATAGGCATGTGGCAGTTATCCAGGCCATTATTTTAGTGGCATTCCTAATATTTCCTGCCATCAGGAGCCCCCTTTACTTCAAAATGGTATACACAGATCTATCTTCCTAGAATAGGTGGCCTCCAGAATCTCTAAACATCATGCTGTAAAGGCTTATTCTCTTCAGCTGGTAACAGGGTGGTATGATTGAGAATAGTTATTTCCCAGAGGCCAGGGGTCCATCCTCTCAATGACTGGTATGCCACTGACTGTGGGATGTATCACAGCATCTATACTAAGACTCCAAGACTTATTCTTTGGTTTTTTTTTTTCTCATAAATGGATAATTTAAATTATTTCTGCAAGCCAGGCAACAACAGGTGTAGTCATAAAACTCCATTTTGGTTTTTTCAAAGGCATTTTTACAGCCCATGTCCCAGATCAGGGGCTCTACACATGTCACTTTAAGGATCTTGTACAAAAGTGTTTTTTTATTAGTTCAAAGTTTAGGATCCAGATGCAACAAAACCCTGCCTAGGAACTTGCCGCCTCCCGGCGGGTGGCAGCAGTTTGGGGAGTCGGCATATGAAAGGGGAAAATAAATAAGACAAAGACAGACACATTGGGAAAGGGACTGAGCCGAAGCTGTTTATTGTAATAGGTAGGGGTTTTTATAGGTTCAGTTAGTGGGGGAACGAGGGGTACTTCTAGATTTGGTTATGTATGTAGTCCTGGTTTGTGATAGGCTAGTATTGTGAGGATGAAGTAGGAAGAAGGTGGAGAGTGATATGAGTAAATTGCTTTGGAATGTGTGCACGTGTTAAACCGTCTCTGGTCTTTTGTATCGTTTTTCTTAATCAGCAAGGTCGCTAGGCGCCTACGTCTAAGATGTACTTTCACTTGAATGTGCTGTAATATAGTTATTAACCCTTACAGGAACTCACACAGTTGTCTTGCATTTTTGGGTCCCTTAAAATTCATGATGACTTCCTTTCAGTCTGACATTAGGCCATGGGTTCCCTTGCTAATTTGGAAGTAATTTGCTGTTTGAAAATCTGCACATTTAGGGGTGATATTTTATAACAGCATCCCTTGGTCTAACTGCAGATTTTGTAAGTCCCTTGCTAAGAAACAGGGTAGGAGAGTTTTTAAGCCCCTGAGGACTGCATGATTCTATACAAATTGGTATGGGTAATGTAAATTACTCACTTTTTGGTAGACTGTATAGGAATAGAATTCGATTCTTCTAGGAAATTCTGTAGTTGCAGTCCATGGTGTGCCCACCCCAGGATGCCAAATTCTGTTACTGAAAGATTGGTACTTGTCTCTAAGGCTGAACAAATAATGAAGATAAGTAGTTTGAGGAAAAGGAAAGAAAAGTTTCTTAAGTTTTTGACAAATGAGGAGGATGTCATACTCTCAAAGAACCATAATTCCCCTGTTAAGAGGAAATACAGGCTCTTAAAGGGGTTTTTCACCTTTGGGCTATTGCTATAGTTAAGAAGAAATACAAGGTTCTTACAGGGGTTTTCAACCTTTGGGATATTGCTATTTAACTATAACATCTCCAAGTATTTCTGTTGAGTCATCTCTGTGGTTTACCATACCTCATAACAAAAAAAACAAAGAATGCTCCTCTCTGCCCCTCCGATTACTGGCATCAGGCAGGAACTCCAGTTTTAATTCCTCAAAAGGGCGAGGATTTTTAAATAGACAACTTGTAATACATTTTGCCCTTTTTTAAGACCATTACTTCTGTTACAGGATGAGGCGATTAAACACTTTCAAAAGGAGTTCATGTCTCCTTTCTTGGAAATTTTTATAAGGGTCAAAGATAATGCTTCTGGCCATTTAAGCGTCTTGACAGAATTTCCCCAGTCTTTTTTATGTCTAGAATTTTACATTCCACTTAATCCGAAGATTGGGGATGATATGGGATATGAAATTCAATGAGTATCCCAGAGGTTTTGCAAGAAAGTTTTTTGTTTGTTTGTTTTTTGCTGTAAAATGAGTCCTTTGATAAGGCTCAAACCATAAAGGAATCCATAAATCCATAAAGGAATACTAAAATGAGGAATAATCTCAGTCACTAATATCTTTACCACTGTTACAACATCAGCATACCTAGTAAGATAGCATTTGGTTCATCCATTAAACATACAAACAATAACCAAACACTGAGAAAAGCCTAAAGCTAAAATTATAAAACCAATTTCAAATGTCATAAGGGGGCAACGTAGGCCTTGGGGGGATTTCTGGATAGTATTGGTTTCCTCTAAATATTTGGTGATAATTACTAATAGTGCACTGGGAAATAATTTGTTCAGAGGTTTGTAGATCCCAGGGAAGTACCAACTGTTTCTTAGCTCCTTAATTAGTCCTCATTTGCACATATGTCCCATCTGGTGAGAGATAAGTGCAAGTTTAAAACTTAAAAGAAAACTGGCCCCTGGGAGTCCATTTGGCCCAATATGCAACCCACTGATAACTTTAATACAATTTTTATCCACTTATCTTTTTTCAGATTGTGGGGCAGTAACCTGATGATTAATAATATCAGACAGGGATAAGGGCAGAGTGATAAACTGAGTGGAAAATGGATAGGGAGGACCATTTGTGGCTGCATATTTATCAGGCTAATCTGCTCTATCATTTCCTAGGGATAGAATACCTGTTCCTAATATGGTCTGGGCAATGAGCAATAGCAATCTTAGAAGAAAGGTAGATAGCTTAGGATAGGGCAGCAATTATAGGCCCACTAGCAATAGGAATTCCTGAGGAATGTAAGAAACCTTGAGATTTACAAATTGTGCCCACTGCAAAGCAAATTCCATAGTCATATTTGGAGTCTGTAAATAGTGGCAGTGTTTCCTTTTGCCAATTTGCAAGCCCCAGTGAGTCCTAAAATTTCAGCAGCTTGTGCTGACTTTATTATAGGCAGAGAATATGTTTCAAGGGTCTTGTGTAGGGAAACCATAGCATAGTCAGTAATTATACTTTCTCTGAAATCACAAGTCTACATCATCTAAAGAAATGTCTGAAAGATCTAGGCTTTGAAGCCAGAATGACAGCTGTAAAGAAATGCTCTTCGTTTGCAGGTAAATTAACAAACTTCACTTTCTTTTTTTCAAACAAGTTTTCCAATGTTTCCTTTAACCACAGAGACAAGTACAGAGATTTTGGTCACAATATCTCAGGACATCTGGAGGAATATCTGTGAATGATCAGAAAAATAAGAGGATTTTAACTGATTTTCAGAGGACTGTTTTTTCTTCAGTGATTCTACCTAAAAATCTAAGACTGTAAACTTCAAATATTTCTTTCTTTCCTTTCTTTTCCTGTTCTCCTCTAAGCCATTTTCAAAAAACTGCGTATCTTCTTCCATTATAATGCTTAGAGGATGACAAGTCCAGACAACTAAACTGTTTTGATTTTTTTTTTTTTAATATTTGGACATAGATTTCCAACTAGGGAAGAAAGGGTATAGAGCATACTTCCTGGGTGAGGGGTGCAATTATAACAGGTTTGGGGTAGCCTACAGCAGCCACACACAAACCCTTTTCCCCTCCTCCTCCCCCTCTAACAGTGGTTCTCAGCCTATCTAATGCCTGGACCCTTTAATACAGTTCCTCATGTTGCGGTGACCCCCAACCATAAAATTATTTTCATTGCTATTTCATAACTGTAATTTTGCCACTGTTATGAATCATAATGTACATATCTGATCTGTAGGATGTATTTAGGTGATCCCTGTGAAAGGGTCGCTGACACTTGTCCTTTGAAAGACACAAAGGATCTGGCTAGGACCAACCCCCAAGATTTTGCATTGAAAGACCCTAACGTGATAGGCAACATGTGGAATGTGCCCACCCTCCACGGCCGGTCCTAACTAAAAGTGGTCTCTAACTGCCCGCAAACCCGCCCCTCTAACTGCAGGGTCACTTTCCCCTGTCAAGGCGACACCGTTTTCGCCTTTCCTGTGGTGCTGAAGACCCGGGACTGAAGGCTGACTGGAAGCTGGCTGCCTGCCACCCCAGTCAGCCCAGTCACCCCAGTTCTCTCAGGACCTACTCCCGTTTTGCCCAGACCCAACTTTGTGACCTGCCTGTCTGGGAGTCCTTGAGGATCCCAGGACCCAGTTATCTCAACTGCCATTTAAATGTGAGTAAGGTCTCTAAATAGCTTCAAACATCGCCCCCCACCTCCCCATCCCCACCCCCATCTTCCCTTGCCCTTTATCTAGCTCCCTGTCTCTATGTCCTCAATTCCCCATCATTTCTTCATTGTTATTCATTTTGTTCACTGTTGCCTAACTAGAGGGTTTTGCCCTAGCCTGTTCTCCCTCTGGGGTCCTGTACACCAAGTCACATTTAATTTCTCATTTCAGCCTGATACTAGACGCTCTTTTAGGCTTTTTAAGGTCCTGGGTACCTTAAGTTCTTTCTCAGCCTTCCTTCATTTTTCATTTTTCACTCCTGGGTTTTGGGAAACAGGGGATGCCTTTTTCTCTACCCACGAAGAGGAGGCAGCTGGGATACGGGAGCTGGCCCTTTCACACACCCCTCCGACCCCAACAGAGACACCCTGGGCGTGTCTCCTTCAACCTCTATATAAATTAGAAAATGGGACCTTTAATTTCAATATCTTAAAGACCTTAAATAATTCCTGCAAATAAAAATTGACAGATGGACCAAAATCCTCCATCTTCAGGACTTCCCTCCCTCCGCTCGTCCTCCTCCATATACAGATCGCAGGTCCAACCCCTCCCCCTCTAGCTTCCCGGTCTTCCTCCCTAGATATCCCCCTCCAAAGATTTCCTGAGCTCCTACTGCCCCTCCCCTCTGGGCAGATGGAGCTTGGAACCCTGAGGCTGCAAATCCTCCAGCTCCCGGCAGGCAGGACAGCTCCGCAGCCAACCCTGACACCGGATCTGCCTGCAGCAGCAGGGGAGGGTGAGCGCACCCGCCCTACAGCTGCGTGCCCCTCCCCCCGCGGGGAGACAAAGAAGGGGGCTGCAACTCCGGAGGCTCCAGCCACAGCCGTACACAGTGTCTAGGATGACAGACACGAGCACGAGGCTGCCAGGCAAGGCAGGCTGAGCTCAGACACCCACAGCTCCCTCGCCTCCACCCCTTCTGGGGGACGACTTCTTTCTATACCGTCCTCAGCTTTGACCACACCTGCCGGCTTCCGGTCAGCCTCTCCCCTTAACCTCACTCTCTTCTCTCCCACACACCAACTCCCCCGTAAGACATTTAAGAGATAAAGTTATAGGAAATCTCTCAAAGCCAGGACAAAAATCCAGCTTTTTTTCCCTATCTAAAACCTTTTCAGCTGTTTATTAATTGAAATCTTAGTACCAGATGTTGGGGGACCTAATGCGGTCACACAAAAGCTCTTTTCCCCTCCTCCCTTTCCTCCCTTTTAAGACAAAGATGCAAAGGATCTGGCTAGCCCGGTCTCCCAAAAAAAGTTCCCGCGGAAATACCCCTACCTGACAGGCGACCTGTGAAATGCGTCCACCCCAGGGCCCCATCTAAAGGGGTCTCTAACTGCCCCCAGTATAGACGCCGTCTTTGCCCTGCCCAGGCGGGTCTCCCTCCCCTTTCAATAAATCTGGCTTGAATATATCTGTGGTCTCATCTTTAGGCGCTACCATTTACACCTTTCACCAAAGAAGAACAAAATACTTCATCTCTCAGTCAACCCTAAACTTCAACATGAACTCTAAAACTTAAAAAACAACAACAACAACAACAACAACAACAAAAAACCTCAGTTCCCACAAACGGAACTTTTAGACCTGGTCTTCATGACCTTTTAATAGAGATTGAGAGAGGATAAAGAAAAAGAGAAAATGGGACTGAGTATTCCAAACAAAAAAGACTTTCTTCTTTCTCCCCCCCCCTTTCTCTCTCTCTCTCTCTCTCTCTTTTTTTTTTTATACTGTTTGGCTCTTTACGTCTTCTTCAAAGATAATTACTCAAAAGGCCCAGGCAAGAAGACACACCCTTCTACTAGATGAAAACCCTGCCCCCTGCCTGTACTAGGACTCTGTGTCCCTGAAGTAAAATTTCTTAAGAAGCGTCCTTGGCTGGAACCCTAGAACTGTGTCCTCTCTACAAAACAGAAAGACACTAGAAGCAAGAATGTATCCTCTTTAGAACAGAACTACATTCACCCTCTGAAACTGGTGGTCCCCTAAGTAGACAAAACCTGTTTCTATCTGACCAGCATGTCAGATGAATGGACTCAACTTCATCACATTGGAATGGCCTTAAGTAAGTAAATCTTTTACAAAGGTAAGCAAATTAATTCTAGTAAATACCAGCACCACATTCTCTAGTCTTCGTGAATTTTAAAGGCCTCTATTTTTCTCTATCTCCAGTATTATAATAAAAAAAAAATATGGCCACCATGTATATATTCCACAGTTTCTCAGTTCTCTAGAAGGTGATATTATCTTGTTAATCCTCTTATTACTTTCAAGTTGCCCTTCCCCTAACCATCTTAGAGGCTTATATCTAATCAAAGTGGGGGAAGGGGGCCTTTACACTTTTTTACAGGACACCTACTGTTTCTACACCAAGTCTGGCCTGGTCTGCATGGCATCACAAGCCATGCATCAATACTCTGAAAATGAAGGATCCTGGTTCAACAACCCATGGGGATGCTGGATTACACTGCTAAGCCCCTTCACTACAATTCTCTAGTTGTTCACCATTGACCCTCATGTCATCCAATTTCTATCTTTTTTTTTATTCAAGACAGTATAAAAAATGTGTCAGCTGCAGTTATAACACAATTCCTACTACTACTCAAATCCTCTCCCAGTGTACCCTAAACTCACGCAGCCCTGCCAACACCTGACTCATTCCACTGAGGATAACTACTGCCCTATCCAGTCAGAAGCAGTTGTGGAAGACAGACCATCACCCCCATCACTAGTTTTAGTGAGAGTGGGGAATTTTGGGGGGCCTAATGCAGCCACACACAAACCCTTTCCACTTCTCCCCCTACTCCTAAAACAGAGACACAAAGAATCTGGCTAGCCCCCACTCCCCCAAATTTCACCCCCTCTGAAAGTCCCTACCCTGACAAACAGCCTGTGGAATGTGCCCACCTCCACTGACCCGTATAAAAGTGGTCTTGAACTGCAGCCTGGGCACAGACACCATCTTTACACTTCACAGGTGGGTTGCCCTCCCCCTTCAATAAACCTGGCCTGAATATCTCTACAGTCTCTTCTCTGGGTGCCACCACTTTGAACAGAGACATTACCTAACCAACACAAATATTATAACCCAATCAGTAGTACCCTCATATTAACTTGAATAAAAATGCAATCAAATTCAAAAAAACAAAAATGAAAAGATTTCTGGACTCTGTTGTTACCATATTTAATGTAGTATGTCTCTAAAATACTTGTATAAATCACTCAATAAAAGATGTTGAGTACTCTTCTTCCTTCTAAGCACATAATTTAACTTTAAGCCAACTAACCTTAGGAGGAAAATTTCCTGATATCCCTCCTACGAGGCTCTGAATATATGCATTTAGCTGAGCTACTTCTTTGTCACCTGTTCCCTCCAGGGATATGGTGTTCCCCTGGAGGCTTTCTGGCCTGTCCAATGCCTACATTGTAATCATGAGTGGGAATTCTCCCCTTGGCATCCAACAAGGCCCCTGTGAATGGGATTATGAATGACTATTAACCTCTTCAACTCTTCTCTTTAGTAGGATCTTCTGAATGTGGAAACAAAAGGGTTTTATAATGCAGAAGATCCAATGCAGTCCAGGGGACTTAAATTCTTGGTGGTTAGTGTCCTGGGTACATTCTCTGGGGTGCTGTACTGGGAGGTCTGGGGCCACTGGAGTTAGGTCACATAGCCCTGAATGGTAAGGGACATCATGTTACACACACAACCAAGTCCTGCTTTGACTCTATAGTGGGTTTTTCCCTTGTCAGCTTTTATGCAATTGACCCGTATGTCTCCGGGCTTTAAATGAGGCCTGAGTGCCTTCTGTAAATCTTGGAGGTACACAGAGGTTAAAGTAGGCAGTGAGTTTTCTGAATAATTTGGGGATGAGATTATTTTAAGGGTTATTAAGAAATATTGGAGGCTAGGTTTTGAAGATGGTTTTTACCAGGGACACAGAGATATAAAAGATCTTCTTGGGGGCAAGGAGTTAAGGATAAAGGGGAGTATAAATTGGAGGGGGATTTAAGGTGGAGGCAAATTTTAACTTTTTCTTTGGGTCACATTTCTGTTCTTTAGTTTTTACAAGAGAGTTTTTAAGGCTAGCCACAACACTGATATGTGTCTTTCTTTCAGTTTGAAATCCCATCAATGCAGATGAGGCATTTACTTAGAATTAAAGCTCTCTAAAATTTACTTAAGTTAAGGAGTATTTCTAGTTCAAAGGATACATCTTCTGGACACTGATAATCTCAATTTTCTTTTCTTTTCTTTTCTTTTCTTTTTTTTTTTTTTTTGAGACAGAGCCTCAAGCTGTCCCCCTGGGTAGAGTGCTGTGGCATCACAGCTCACAGCAACCTCCAACTCCTGGGCTCAAGTGATTCTCCTGCCTCTGCTTCCCAAGTAGCTGGGACCACAGGTGCCTGCCACAATGCCTGGCTATTTTTTGGTTGCAGCTGTCACTGTTGTTTGGCAGGCCTGGGCTGGATTCGAACCCACCACCTTAGGTGTATGTGGCTGGCACCTTATCCACTTGAGTCACAGGCACTGAGCTGATAATCTCAATTTTCAATGGTATATTTATCCCCAAAGTGACTCAATCTAATAAGCCTCTTTATAGAAAGCCAAATCTGTGAGTTTCGAGGTTTAAAGTTTTATTATGTAAGTAAGAGGTGTTCCTGGGGAGATCCAAGAGGAGGCGGTTACCATAATTGACCCATGTTCACTTTCAAAAATTGACTTAAGATAGACATGGAGGATAGAACCTTTAAAGATAAAAACTTCCTTAGATCTTGAACCACAGAATGTGGCCAAACCATCATGCATTTTGAACATCTACATTTAGTCCCAAATTAAACCCAGTATCTCCTTTGAGGCATTTCAGGCCTTGCATCATGATAGCTATTAAATATCATAGCCTTAATTAAGAGGTTGAGAAGTTACAGAAGGACTGTATGGTGAAACCTAGGCATTATGGAATGTAAGTTTTTAGGTGTAATGCACTTTTGAAATTGTGTTCTTCACCATGTTTAGGCAAATTTGATGTTTTACAGAAGGAATAGTATATATAGATATCTATGGTCACTGTAGTTTTTATCTTTCACTATTTCAATTAAGAGTCATAAAATTTTATAAAACATTTAACAATTGTGACATTGTAAATAGGAAATGAATAGAAAGCAAGTTTATTTTTTTTTCCATTTGGATTATATATCTACCATACAATAGGAAAAAAAAAACATTTTTCTCCTTCTATATTTCATGTCCATCTAAGTAAATGACTAAAGGCAAAAATCTCAATTAATAGAGGTTTATTAAGCCAATATTTTTAGGATGAACATGGGAAAAAACAGGAACCTCAGACAAGCTGTAGCTGGTTTTTTTTTTTCTTTTTTCAAGTGATAAGGTTGGAACCCTCAACATTTTAAAGGCATACGGAGAGAAGGAGAAAAGCAGGTGGAGTGAGGCTGATGAGGTAGTGGCTAGATTCTTGTGAGTCTCAAGAAATTCAAATTTACAAAAAATAAGAGAATAAAGGAAACATCGGTTATATGGATGTCCCTGGGTGTGTGGAAGAATGCCTAGTTCTGTCTTGTCTCCATTTCTGTCACACGTAAGATTGCCTTATGATTAATTCATTGCTAGTATGGAATCAGCTAGGCTTTAGTTTTAGGCTGTTAGACATAGGTAAAATTTGTATGTCTTTGCTTATGGGAGCTTAACAAGAAATTTCCTTAAGAAATGATCTGTGGGAACAGCTTTTCACAGGTGCCTGAAGCTGTGATTTTACTTTTACAATCTCCCCGTTCTTCAAAATATTTCAAAGAAAGCAATGTAGAAGGCCTGAGTTTGTGGC